AAAGAATTCGCAGCTAGAAAACCATCTCTTCAAAACATCCTCGCCAAAGCATTACAGGAAGAGGAAATGGAAAATAACAATGAAAACCAACAGTGGGAGGTAGGACAGTAAAGGGGGGGGAAATAATCAAAGAGGAAAACAAACCATGTTTAGTAACAGAAATAAACAAATATGGCTGGAAGAACAACCCATATCTCAATAATAACCCTAAATGTTAATGGCTTAAACTCACCAATTAAGAGACACAGGCTAGTAGAATGGATCACAAAACAAGACCTGACAATATGCTGCCTACAGGAGACGCATTTGATAGGAAAAGACATACATAGGCTGAAGGTGAAAGGTTGGGAAAAATCATATCACTCATATGGACTTCGGAAACAAGCAGGCGTGTCCATACTCATATCAAATAAAATAGATTTCAAGCCAAAGTTAATCAAAAGGGATAAAGAGGGACACTACATACTGCTTAAGGGAACCATACACCAACAAGACATAACAATCATAAATATTTATGCCCCAAACAATGGTGCAGCTATGTTCGTCAAACAAACTCTTCTCAAGTTCAAGAGTCTAATAGACCACCATACCATAATCATGGGAGACTTCAACACACCTCTCTCGCCACTGGACAGATCTTCCAAACAAAAGTTGAATAAGGAAACTATAGAACTCAATAACACAATTAATAACCTAGACCTAATTGACATATATAGAGTATACCACCCAACATCAAGCAGTTACACTTTTTTCTCAGCAGCACATGGATCCTTCTCAAAAATAGATCATATATTATGTCACAGGGCAACTCTTAGACAATATAAAGGAGTAGAGATAATACCATGCATCTTATCTGATCATAATGGAATGAAACTGAAAATCAACGATAAAGGAAGGAAGGAAAAAGCATACATCACTTGGAGAATGAACAATAGGTTACTGAATGATCAATGGGTTATAGAAGACATCAAGGAGGAAATTAAAAAATTCTTAGAGATAAATGAAAACACAGACACAACATATCGGAATCTATGGGACACATTGAAAGCAGTTCTAAGAGGAAAATTCATTGCTTGGAGTTCATTCCTTAAAAAAAGAAAAAACCAACAAATAAATGATCTCATACTTCATCTCAAAATCCTTGAAAAAGAAGAGCAAAACAACAGCAAAAGAAGTAGAAGGCAAGAAATAATTAAAATCAGAGCTGAAATGAATGAAATCGAAACAAAAGAAACAATTGAAAAAATTGACAAAACTAAAAGTTGGTTCTTTGAAAAAATAAACAAAATCGACAGACCCTTAGCAATGCTAGCAAAGAGAAGAAGAGAGAGAACTCAAATTACTAGCATACGGGATGAAAAAGGCAATATCACAACAGACACTTCAGAAATACAGAAGATAATCACAAACTATTTTGAATCCTTATACTCCAATAAATTAGAAGATAGTGAAGGCATAGATAAATTTCTTAAGTCATATGATCTGCCCAGATTGAGTCAGGAGGATATAGAAAACCTAAACAGACCAATATCAATTGAGGAAATAGAAGAAACCATCAAAAGACTACCAACTAAGAAAAGCCCAGGACCGGATGGGTATACAGCAGAATTTTACAAAACCTTTAAAGAAGAACTAATACCAATACTTTTCAAGCTACTTCAGGAAATAGAAAAAGAGGGAGAACTTCCAAATTCATTCTATGAGGCCAACATCACCCTGATACCTAAACCAGACAAAGACACTTCAAAGAAAGAAAACTACAGACCAATATCTCTAATGAACCTAGATGCAAAAATCCTCAACAAAATTCTGGCGAATCGGATACAAAAACATATCAAAAAAATTGTACACCATGATCAAGTAGGATTCATCCCTGGGATGCAAGGCTGGTTCAATATACGGAAATCAATAAATGTTATTCACCACATCAATAGACTTAAAAATAAGAACCATATGATCATCTCGATAGATGCGGAAAAAGCATTCGACAAAGTACAGCATCCCTTTATGTTCAAAACTCTAGAAAAACTAGGGATAACAGGAACATACCTCAATATTGTAAAAGCAATCTATGCTAAGCCTCAGGCTAGCATCATTCTGAATGGAGAAAAACTGAAGGCATTCCCTCTAAAATCTGGAACAAGACAGGGATGCCCTCTCTCTCCACTTCTGTTCAACATAGTTCTCGAAACACTGGCCAGAGCAATTAGACAGACGAAAGAAATTAAAGGCATAAAAATAGGAAAAGAAGAACTCAAATTATCACTATTTGCAGTGACATGATTCTATACCTAGCAGACCCAAAAGGCTCTACAAAGAAACTATTAGAGCTAATAAATGAATTCAGCAAAGTGGCAGGATATAAAATCAACACGCATAAATCAAAGGCATTCCTGTATATCAGCGACAAATCCTCTGAAATGGAAATGAGGACAACCACTCCATTCACAATATCTTCAAAAAAAAAATAAAATACTTGGGAATCAACCTAACAAAAGAGGTGAAAGACTTATACAATGAAAACTACAGAACCCTAAAGAGAGAAATAGAAGAAGATCTTAGAAGATGGAAAAATATACCCTGTTCATGGATAGGCAGAACTAACATCATCAAAATGGCGATATTACCAAAAGTTCTCTATAGGTTTAATGCAATGCCAATCAAAATCCCAACGGCATTTCTTGTAGAAATAGAGAAAGCAATCATGAAATTCATATGGAAAAATAAAAGACCCAGAATAGCAAAAACAATGCTAAGCAGGAAGTGTGAATCAGGCGGTATAGCGATACCAGACTTCAAACTATACTACAGAGCAATAGTAACAAAAACAGCATGGTACTGGTACCAAAACAGGCGGGTGGACCAATGGTACAGAATAGAGGACACAGAAACCAATCCACAAAACTACAACTATCTTATATTTGATAAAGGGGCTAAAAGCATGCAATGGAGGAAGGATAGCATCTTCAACAAATGGTGCTGGGAAAACTGGAAATCCATATGCAACAAAATGAAACTGAATCCCTTTCTCTCGCCATGCACAAAAGTTAATTCAAAATGGATCAAGGAGCTTGATATCAAATCAGAGACGGGCCGTCTGATAGAAGAAAAAGTTGGCTACGATCTACAGTCGGTGGGGTCGGGCTCCAAATTCCTCAATAGGACACCCATAGCACAAAAGTTAATAACTAGAATCAACAAATGGGACTTACTCAAACTAAAAAGTTTTTTCTCAGCAAAAGAAACAATAAGAGAGGTAAATAGGGAGCCTACACCCTGGGAACAAATCTTTACTCCTCACACTTCAGATAGAGCCCTAATATCCAGAGTATACAAAGAACTCAAAAAATTAGACAATAAGAGAACAAACAACCCAATCAACAAATGGGCCAAGGACCTGAACAGACACTTCTCAGAGGAGGACATACAGTCAATCAACAAGTACATGAAAAAATGCTCACCATCTCTAGCTGTCAGAGAAATGCAAATCAAAACCACCCTAAGATACCATCTCACTCCAGTAAGATTGGCAGCCATTATGAAGTCAAACAACAACAAGTGTTGGCGAGGATGTGGGGGAAAGGGTACACTTGTACATTGCTGGTGGGACTGCAGATTGGTGCAGCCAATTTGGAAAGCAGTATGGAGATTTCTTGGAAAGCTGGGAATGGAGCCACCATTTGACCCAGCTATTCCCCTTCTCGGTCTATTCCCTAAAGACCTAAAAAGAGCATGCTACAGGGACATTGCTACATCCATGTTCATAGCAGCACAGTTCACAATAACAATACTGTGGAACCAACCTGGATGCCCTTCAATAGACGAATGGATAAAGAAAATGTGGCATTTATACACAATGGAGTATTACTCTGCATTAAAAAATGACAAAATCATAGAATTTACAGGGAAATGGATGGCATTAGAGCAGATTATGCTAAGTGAAGCTAGCCAATCCCTAAAAAACAAATGCCAAATGTCTTCTTTGATATAAGGAGAGTAACTAAGATCAGAGTAGGGACGAAGAGCAGGAGAAGAAGATTAACATTTAACAGGGATGAGAGGTGGGAGGTTAAGGGAGAGAGAAGGGAAATTGCATGGTAATGGAAGGAGACCCTCAGGGTTATACAGTGGAGGGGGTAGAGAGAGAGGAGGGGAGGGGAGGGGAGCGGTGGGGAGGGGGGAGGGTGGATGATGGGAAAGGCAGCGGAGCACAACAGACACTAGTATGGCAATTTGTAAATCAATGGATGTGTAACTGATGTGAATCTGCAATCTGTGTATGGGGTGAAGGTGGGAGTTCATAACCCACTTGAATCAAAGTGTGGAATATGATATGTCAAGAAATTTGTAATGTTTTGAACAACCCCCAATAAAAAATTAAAAAAAAATAAAATAAAATAAAATAATGGATAAAATAATATTAGTAATAAATAATAACATTTATTTAAAAAATAAAAATAAAATAAATAAAATAAAACTTCAAATCTTCTGGTTTAAATTGCTATATAACGACAGTACGAATAATACATTCAGAATCCGTTGGGCATGAAAATCAACAATTTAGGTCACCTTGAGAAAACAAATAAATGATAGTGCTACATTTGTTATCTTTTAATGTACTGTACTTTTGCATATACAGGTAGTAATTCAATGATTTAACATACTGTTTAAAGTTATAGGGTGGTACTCTGAATTATGTTTAGTACATTTAAGAGTATTTGCAGAAATAACATTAGAGGAGGCCCTTTAATACCCACTGGAATAATTCTAATTATTAATAATTATGCTGATAAATTGAAAAGGCTTCCCACCACTACTGAAACTACCTATCAGAATAAAGGTAGACTCTAAAGGATGTGCATGTGGTTACACACACACACACACACACTCACACACATACTCACAAACACAAATTCAAGTACAGTGTTCACACACTTTAATCAGGAATAGGGAAGAAGGGAAGACAAAGTATAATTTCAATAAAAATACTACACACTATATTTCCTCTGAAATCTTTATTTTTGAATCAGTATATTTTTAAATTTTATCCTCAAAATTTAAAAAATCTAAATATTTCCTGGGTTTTCAATTCCAATTACATTTAATCAATAACTTATATTAAAACATGAAGTTAGCAAAACAGTTTTTAAAGTATTAGTCTAAAGTAAATAGAATTTTATTATTTGTTCCAGTGCCTTTGTTCTACTCAACCTTTTCAGTTTACTAAGAAGGCTATTGCTTTTCAATTTTCAAAAAGAAATTATACCTTCATTTTTTTTCTTTTTAAAAAGAGGAAAATCTATTTAAAAACAAATAGAGTTAAAAAATTACTCTGTGAAATTTTTTCACTTCCCTCAAAATGGACCTATATATGGTATAAATGTTTGATTTAATTTGTAATATATGTGATAGAGAATCATAATGATAACATTCCTTCTTACGGAATAGTATGGTATCTCAGCATGACTTATTGCCTTGTACAGTAAACATACCATTTCTGTGACAAATCATTGCCCGACACAGCACCCCCAATTTAAAGCACTAAACACATCTACTGATCTATTTCAGATACAACAAGCTTCTATCACTTAAGATTAAAATAAAATTGATGCTCAAAGAACTTCAGTAGATAAAATAGAACAGACATGTTTGAACCATAACCAGATCACTACAGGCAACAGTTTGGCCTAACTACAGACAGAAATAACATATTATCCACTACAAACAAAGTATATCCAAGCCTCATGTGACAAGATTCAATAGCTAAAAATCAAGCAGCACTCAGCAAAAGAAAATATATTTAAATGAATGCTTTCATGTCAATCAAGAAGTCTCAGCCAGCGAACTTCCAGCAATACTGTTCACAGAGACAGCATTATACATCAATCTCCTATTTAGGGTAATTCTCCCTGGTTTGGTGGGCTTCAAACAGCTCAAGGAAAGTTAATTACATTTGAGCTGCTTCTTCACAGAAAGGAGTTCAAAGCATTACACATGATGGCAACTTGTCAGACTCTAAGCAATATCAAGACACAGCTTGCATTTATTACTTTTAGTTTTTGCTCATGACAGTATAAGAAAGCCTTTCCAAATGCACATTTGGGTTCAATGTGTACTTTCCAACTAAGGTATACAGTATTTAAGACAAGCTCATGACTTTTTAAAATAAAATCTATAAGGCAATCATTTTCTAAGTCATAAATAAATACTTCAAATCTACCCAATAAATTGTCTTAATTACTCTAATTTTAATTTTTTAGTTATAGGTGGACACAATATCTTTATTTTAATTTTAGGTGGTGCCGAGGATCAAACCCAGTGCCTCAGGCATGCCAGGTGAGCACTCCACCTCTGAGCCACAATTCTAGCCCCTAATAACTCTAATTTTAAGTATAACTTATGCTGAAAATAAATTCAAAATCTCCTTTTTTATATCATCTATACCAGTAGTTTGTCAATGAACTTTATTTTATTTATTTATATGTGGTGCTGAGAATTGAACCCAGTCCCTCACACATGGTAGGCAAGCATACTACCATTGAGCCACAACCCCAGCACCTAAAATAAAATCTGGAAGCAAATTTATAAAGTTCACTCTTGTCAATATGGAAACATTAAAGAAAAACAAAAAGAACCAATTCAAGCCTCTGGCCAGAGATAAGATTGTAAATGATTTTAGGTCTCCTAAAACTGTATTTAAAATTTCTTACCAAAACCTAACTTTTCTTTCCTTAAAACATCTTGTCCTGCAAAATACTAAGCTAGAAAATAGCTCTTACCCAAATCACAACTAAAAAGTAAACTTTTAGTATAAAACATTTTCCCACACATCCAAGAAGATCAAAAAAATTATGACATAATCTCCCTAAACAGAATGCTAGGTATCTAAGATAAAAAAACAAAATGTAAGAAACTGTGTTATCTAGTTAAAGAATTGTAACATCATAATTATGTAAGAGAAAGCATTCAAAATGAAAAATGCAGGTAATAGAATTGAAAACCAAAAAGTGGTTATTAATTTTCATGGAAGAATTTTAAAATTTTATCTATATTGCAACCACTATATAATTGTTACTGTTGTTTGGTAATTGGGAATGAACACAGGGACACTTCTTTACCACTAAACTACAAACCCAGCCCTTGTTTTATTTGTTTGTTTATTTATTTATTCATTTATTTGTTAGACAGGGTCTAAATTGGCCAGGCTGGCCTCAAATTTGCAATCTTCCTGCCTCAGCCTCCTGAGTTGCTGGAATTATAGGCACATGCCACCATGCCTAGTTACTATTACATAAATGCTGTATAAACCTTTAGATTCTGGGACTCTTTTGGGAAGTTGAAGGTATTCATTTTTAATCTTTAAAATATTCTTTACAAAAAATTTACCTTTCTCTAAAACAGTATGTCAAGTAGCATTCAAGTTTTTTCACTCATGAAAACAGGTGTTAGAATAGAAAAATACTAAAGGCTTCATTAACTGATTTATTCTTTCCATGCTATAATATAGAATTTAAATTTAAAAATTTTCTTCTGTAAAAATCAATGATTCATAATTCACTGTTATTTTCTCTTACTAATTAACTTTACCAAACATTATAATAACAGAAAGTAATATAATTTAAAAATTTATTCATATACTAGCTCAGGACAATCAAATTGATTTCCATTTCCATTTGTAAAAAGTAAGATAAAAGGAAATTTAGTAGTCTACTCTCCTAAAGAGGAAAGGACAGTTACAGAGGCCAATTCAGATATTACATTAGTCTATCATCTGCATTCAGAATGGAACTCATGAACTGTTGCCACTTTCCAATTGTGGTATTTTGTCATACTTATTGCTTTCTTTGCTTTCTTGATATGTACGAAGTTGCTCCATGAAGCCAGAATTTGGACATATGGAAGGTCTTGCATTTTTCACCAAAGCAAAAGCACTGGTAAATGAAATTTCTTCAGAATTCATCAGGAAGCCTATTACAATTGCAGCAGCCCTGGAAACCCCTGCATTACAATGAACAAGAACCACACCATCCTGCAATAAAATAAAATATCCATTATTCATTTGAGAAAGACTATTAAGTTGATTTTACATTCCTATGTACATAAAATTATAAAGTAAGCACCCTACTTTGATTTTATCAAAATCAATCAAGTAATCAATCAACCAACCTCCACTCCACCTCTCTGCCCCGGTATTGAAACAATATCTTTTATTAAGTAATCTAGTAAAGTAGTACTACTCATATATACATAAAAAGGAGAAAAATCACAGAAAATACACATAGAAACATAAATAAAATCACATTCATAAACTAAACAGAGACATTCCAAGTAACCATCATATTCCCATACAAAAACTAGTGTCATTGGCTTGGAAATCTTTATATAAAATGATCACCAAAGCAAGTTTTTTTCTACTCTTGGATATTATTTTGTTGTGGAAGAAAGTAGGTTAAAATATTTAAACTTATGAGGTAATAAAACGATGACACAAATAGCTTTCACCAATGCAAAGTGGAAAAGGTAATCGGGCACCAGCATGAGGTCAATCAATGAAAAACGTTTCAGGTAACTTGAAAATGATACTTTCCAGGTGAAAAGGGACACAGTGCAAGACCAATGGTGATGGGGGCAATATTGTATCAATAATGAATGTGATAGATCTGATGAAATAGCTTTGATACAGCTTGGCCTATCTCAGGCTTTTAAAAAGTTAATGATCTAGATGAAATGTAGTGAACTGTGAGCACACCCTAAAGAATTCAACATTTCAGTTATTTCAATTCCTGATTCTTTATTTAGTACAAGAAGGAAAAGTGGGGAGGGGAAAAACTTACTGAAAAATCCTCTACCAAAAGCATACATTAATAATATTGTTATTATGGTTCATTGGATTATTTTACTTTTGTATGGCAGTTTTCTCACATTCACATATCCAATGCAAAATTATTTCCATAACTGTTGCAATAATTTGCAAGTGCATCTCCTTTCAAAAATGACTAGCAAAAACTTAGTTAATTTTTTAAAAATTCTAATATCAAAAAATGTAATTTAAGTTGTTTTATAGATAACTATGATTCATTTTCAAACTTTAACTGTATCTGCACATGGAAAGCAAAATAAAAATATTCATTATATACTCTGGAATTTTGCTTGCTATATAGCAATAGCTCATTTTTGTGACTTGATGTTTAAAATTATATTACAGTAACTTAAAAATTATTAATGATCATTTGGCTCAAAATAAATTAATTAGATAGTACAAAGAAGCTTATAATCATACGCTCAATAAGGAAGAGATACCCTTCAATGTCATTTTTATTATTTCCTTAGTCATCTCTATTTTATAAGTTCACAAGACTTGAAACCACATTTATTTTCAGTGTTATAAACCGTGCATCCAATTTTAGTTAATGTTTTGAAATGTTAGTATAATTATCTTCCCTCTTACTACTTTCTTCATATAACAGCTGATTTCCTGCAGTTTTTATTTACCTATTTTCTACCTTTTTATTATTCTTTAGGTATCATTTTGTCTTGGAAAAGTATTTCCAGAAAAATTATTGGCTTTATGTTCTTTTTTCTGAACTCAAAAAAACAAAAAGACACCTAATTTATAAACCCAATTTTTTCTTTGCAATTGTTATTGTCCTCTATCTGGAAGACCTCTATTCTTCTTGATACCATTACCTCTGACTTCTGTATCAAAAAGATTGCCCTTCTCCAAGTGCAATGAGGGCAGGAGGAATGTTCTGTCTATACTTGTATGCTCAGTTTTTAGTGCATAGTAAATATTCCATAAATATATGCAAAGTGAATACATTGATTCATTCTGCATTTCTGTAAGGAAATTTGGTTCTCTCAAAAATCCAAACCATCATTTTACTATATACAGATAATAATTATGCTATGCTATTTACATTTTTTTTCTATTTCCAGTATACTTTGTTCTCATAATTCCACAAATAGCTTTTCAGCTCCATGAGAACCACAAGCTGGATCCCTCACATCTTCCTAGAATAAATAATTGATATTCGTTGATAGATTAACTGAACCAGTTTTTCCTTACATAATTTCCAATAAAACTTGGGCATAATATGTTCTTTAAGTGCTTGACAACAGCCTATGATTAGATAAAATTCTGTGGTAGAATGAAAATCAACTGTTTTTTAGAGTGTATAGTATGTAGCTCAGTCCCTCCCTCCCTCTTTCTCTCACTTTGATAGAGTGTGTCAAAGAATGAAGAAAAGCTCAGGTGCAACCCTCTTATCTCACTGAAGTTGAGTAATGAACTGTACCATACTTTTAGTAGCCCAGGTCAAGTCACTTTGAAAGCACTCATAACTATGAGTGCTAACACTCGTCAATACAAACATGGTGCTTTGGTTTTGATATGGTTTGAGTGTGTCCCACAAGGTTTTTTGTGTTGGAAGTTTGGCCCCCAGTGTAGCAATGCTGTGGGGCAGTGAACTTTTAAGAGGTAGGTCCTTAGCTGAATATGGTGGTGCATGTCTGTGATCCCAGAGTCTTGGGAGGCTGAGACAGAAGAATCACCAGTTCAAGGCCCAGCCTTAGCATCCTGGGAATACCCTGTCTCAAAATAAAAATAAATACACAAAAAAGATCTGGGGGATGTAGCTCAGTAGTAGATTGTGGTGAGCCGCTTCTGCCGTTTCTGCAGACTATGGTCGCCATTACAAGATGGCGCTGGCTCCGCTGTGGTCTGTGACAAACAACTCCTTATTTGGGAGAGTTGGCGCATGGTTTTTCACCACCCTACGAGAAAGCTCCACGTGGCAGCTTCGCATTGGGGCTTGAGATGCTTTATTAAGGCTGGGAGGGGCATCCGAGAGAGAGAAGAAGAAATATCAAGGGCCTGAATAAACTGCTGAAAGAAGATTCCTGAGTTGCATCTTCCTTGCGGGCAAGGGGTCGTGACAGTAGATCAACTCTTGGTTCAACCCCCAGCACTACAAACAAAAAAAAAAAAAAGAGGAGAGGCTTTGTGGGAGGTGTTTAGGTCACTGGGATGTGCCTTGAAGAGATTAAAGTAGTTTTCCTGGGAATCCTGATTAGTTCTTTTTTTTTTTTTTTTCCTGATTAGTTCTTAACTAATGTTCCCACTATAATGATGCCATCCATTACGAGGTTCATGCCAGACCCAGTACCAGCACTGTTTGGACTTCCTGTAATGGTGGTCCACTTTATCCTTTGAATATAGCACTTGTTGCTCTGCCACTGCAAATTATTAGTATTAGTTTTGTTTTGTTTTTTGGTACCGGGGATTGAACTCGGGGCATTCGACCACTGAGCCACATTCCCAGCGCTATTTTGTATTTTATTTAGAGACAGGGTCTCACTAAGTTGCTTAACTAAATTGCTGAGGCTGGCTTTGAACTTGAGATCTTCCTGTCTCAGCCTCCTGAGCCACTGCACCCAGAGGGTGCAACTCATTTTTAAAACCACATGCTTCTTCCTCTCCCTGCTCCTCCCTAATCTCTCCCCCTCTAATCTCAGGGGAAACAGATAACCTTTCTTCTCCAACCTAGGCAGTTATCTGTCCCTGAGTACACACTCACCATAGGAATGAAGTAATCCAGACTTTGTGGATGGTACCAGAAGATCTCAGAAATGACTATCTCCCTTAGAACTCCAGACAGAGAATGTGTGGAATGTAGCCTTTGAGTCACCTCTTTAAAGCCCCCTGTTCCTGCTAATGGGCAGAATCACAGTCTTTGGGACAGAAGTTCCTATGTTTTTCCTATGCTAGCAAAGCAATAAATCATCTTTTTCCTTTCTTCTCTAAACCCTGTCCTTGTTATTGGATTGGCACTGGGGACAAGAACCCAGATTTCAACAACATTCCCACCTCCAAAACTGTCTTCTTTACAAGTGACTCAAATTCAAACATTTTGTTCCAGTAATGGAAAATGGATTAACACACATGGAAAACAGAAAACAGTAGTGAGCAACAAACTAGAGAATGCATGTAAAAACTCAGTGAATTTAGGTAATTATTTAGACTTGTAATGCTTCTCTAATGAGTCTTTTCTTACAATGAACAAAAAATTGAAAACAGCTCATACATATATCTCATAGAAGAAAATTAGGTAAGTAACTTATAGAATCACCAATCACTAAAATACTATGCAGAAATTAAAATTTATTTGATAATATTAATTATAAATAATAAGCTATAAAAAGTATGAATTGTATAAAAGTACAGTTGTACATGACATAAAGAAATGAATGAATGATAAAAGCCTAGAGAAACATATCAAAATGTTATCAGTGGTTATGTCTAAGAAAGGGAGTAAGGTAACCTGAAATTTTATTTGTATTTTCCATTTTTCTAAGATTGCTTATGTAATGTTTTAAAAATAATTATAAAATAAATAATAAAGTAAATATGGAATATCAAATACACATTTTAATACTAACAAGCCAAACCTTTTGCACAAAAATTTTTAAAAAGAGAGGCCAAGTAGATTTATTTCCTAACAGAACTCTTGAGGTTATAGAGGTTACCATAACTGCTTCTCTGTCACATGTATTTCTGTTCTATACCCTTTAAGGTATACGCTTGACAGATTGTGTATGAGGTTGAGAGAGAAAAAGGCTACAGAAACCAAACCAAACAGGGTTAGTACAGAGGAAAATGAGAAAAGCATGGGAAAATGGAAGATATTTGGTTTGTATGTAAAAAGATGAAAACAAGATACTAGGTCCTAGAAAGTTAGTTTTGAAATATGCAAGTCGCTAAGTAGATTCAACAATACTTCAGTATACAATAGAAAAAGCCACGAGGAGATTTCTATTGATAAAGCTAAATATGTATTAGTGTAAAATACACAAAGTGTTCAAGGCAAGGAAACAATGGGTGAAGTTAGGATCCCAGTATAAAACACAGACTTGAGAAATCAGAACATATTGTAGAATTCTAACACATTTGTATCAGAAACATCAACTTCTCAGACTCCTTTGGCACTGTCATCTCATGGACCATCTGCCTTGGTTGCCACCTCCATGGTTGACTCCTCCCCTTAGTGCCATTCAGTTTAGCTTGTCTAAGAAGGAAGGCCATGCTATTCCCCACTGGTACCCATGAGATAAATAGGCATACTCCAATTTCTGGATTTTCTTGTCACCTCTGGCCTTGGATGAGAAGACATACCAGAAGGTACTGCATCTGGCTTTGAGTTGGCTGCTAAAACAGTAGAACACTGTAACCTGGGATTGAAGTGTTATTTAATTCCTTATTGGCAAACAGGAAATGAGCTGACAGAGCAAAGGGGATAAAAATGCTTTCTCTTCCTTTCCAAAGTCTGTAGTAAAATGCAGTTTCTTTATATTGCCTATTTGAAGATATCTTGAGTGGTAGAGAAGCCATGCCTATGGAATAACCAACTATTTCCCTGTCAGCTTATTGTAAAATTATGCTCGGTAAGGTCTTGATCATCTTACACAACTTCTAATCCTACCTGAAATCACTTCCCTTTCCTCTCACTCTCACTGCCTATGGGATGATACTACTCAAATTAAGCATCAGCTCATAATCCTTGCCTCAGGCTCTGTTGTTGTTGTTTTTTTTTTTAATATTTATTTTTTAGTTGTAGTTGGACACAATACCTTTATTTTATTTTTTTTTATGTGGTGCTGAGGAGCGAACACAGGGCTCTGCATATGCTAGGCGAGCACTCTACCACTGAGCTATAACCCCAGCCCTCAGGCTCTGTTTTTAAGAAATTCAAGCTAAAAACCATTCTAATAAACTCCAGTCAAAATTAAAGCAAACTTTTTTAAATTTAAAAAAATTTTAAATTCCCAAACTTAGAATACTCAATTTCTTGCTTTTTTAAAAGACAATATTACCTTCTCCAATATTTACTTACAAATCATAAATCTCTTCCAATTTTAATATGAGTATGGATGATATATACACTTGTCCATCTAAGATGTATTCTATATCCCCTTTGAGATGCAGCTAACAGAGAAACTCATCTTTTTTTGTGGTCCTGGGGACTGAATCCAGGGAAACTCTACCACTTTGCTACATCCCCAGCCCTTTCTATTTTTTATATTAAGACAAAGTCTTGTTAAGTTGCAGAGACTGGCCTTGAACTTGAGATCCTCCTGCCTCACTCTCCTGAGTCAATAGGATCATTTTGATTTTTAACACTATTAACTGGTACACTGAAATATTACAATCTAGAGTCTATAAATAATTTTTTTGCAAGAGAACAAAATGACAAATATTAGTCTTTGAATCAGAAAGCCTATTCCTTTGTTTCCATCCAAATATCTAAATAAGGCTAATGAATAGTTGTTGAGCTTTACATTTTCTGGGTAATCTAGTTGTAGGGGACCTAAAATAGTGCTAGGCACATAAACCACCCAATAAATATTACTATGTGAAAGAGAGGAAAGGAGAAATGGAGAGAAAAGGGAAGAAGAAGAAATAGCAGGAAAACCATTAGACCGGATTCAATTAAACAGGATTCTAACACCAACTGTCATTGTTGGGTGCTCCAGAAGTGCTTCTTCTTTCTCTAAGTATGCCTACCTTCCTATCCACTTATTCTACATAAATTTTGTAAGAAATATTTATTGACTAAAAATGATATCATCTCAAGGTATAATTATTGGTAATAGCCAACCTAGAAGTCCAGCCTGTTAGAATGTTGACTTGGATCCAATACCAAGATTAAAATGTTATATTGTCTGTTGATCTTCTGAAGTCACAAAACCAAAGGAGAGCTTCTGATTGCCATTTTCATACAATCTCAGTGAAGCAATGCATATTTAGTCCTCTTAGATTGCTTTAAAATTCCATTGTTAAAAATCAGTCAAATAAATGCAGATTAATCATTATAAATATACTAATGAGACTAATTTCTATCCAGTAGCTATGGTTATTTTGCAAATTACTTAGAAGTCAAATGGTTATAAACACTCAAAAGAAATCTAACTACCTACTTAGTAGTTTGAATTAGATCTATATTTTCAGGAAAATTCAGTAGAATTTTCTAATTCCTATTTTCTCAGTTAGGCATAAGAAAATAAGAGAAGTAAAAGTCTTATTGAGGAATGAGCCATTAGAGAACTGAAAATTTCATAAAGGTTCTTCACAAATTAATTGAAAAAAGAATAAAGACTGGATAATGGACCCATACTTTCAAATGTCTGCTTTGGAAGAACTATGGATAAAAACAAAACTTACCTTCATTTTTGCTTGTTCAATGAATTCAAAACATTCTGGAAAATAAGACAGGATATTGGTTTCAGGAAGGTCCAATATAGAAATGCTTTTATATGTAAACTCACTGAAGAAAGCATTCTCAACTCCACATGCAACATTAAGAATATGAGTCACCTTAAAGAGAAAGAAAAAGATGAATTTACTTTCTCTTTCTTGAACAAAGAGAAAGAGAGCCTTAAATGTTGAAACTTCCTTTATAGACGTTATCCTTTGTAAAAGGGGGACTTTTTCTCTGTTCTCAGAGGATTCTCTATGGCTTCATCTTCTCAAAATAATAAGCTGGCTGTGTTGCCAAAAGCTTAGTCCTTGTCCCTGATGCCAATCCAATAACGAGGACATGTTTTTCAGAAAAAAAAAAAAGAGGAAAACGAAGGTTTTGCTTTGCTATCAAAGGAAAAACACAGGGACTCCTGTCCCAAAGGCTGTTATTCTGCCCATCAGCAGGAACAGGTGTTTTTTGTTTGTCTTTGATACTGGGGAGTGAATCCAGGGGTGCTTAACCACTGAGCCGCATCCCCAGCCCTTTTTCGTATTCTATTTAAAGACAGGGTCTCACTGAGTTACTTAAGGCCTCACTAAATTGTTGAGGCTGGCTTTGAACTCATGATCTTCCTGCCTTAGACTTCCAAGCTGCTGGGATTATAAACATGCGCCACCACAACCAGCTAGGAACAGAGGGCTTTTAAAGAGGTGATTCAAAACATACATTCCATGTGTTCTCTGTTGGAATTGTAATTCCTGTTCATCTCAGTATTTGTTTTTTTTTTTTAATTTTATTATTAGTTGTTCAAAACATTACAAAGCTCTTGACATATCATATTTCATACATTTGATTCAAGCAGATTATGAACTCCCATTTTTACCCCGTATACATATTGCAGATTCACATCGGTTCCACGTCCACTTTTTTACATACTGCCATACTAGTGTCTGTTGTATTCTGCTGCCCTTCCTATCCTCTACTATCCCCCCTCCCCTCCCCTCCCCTCTCCTCCCATCTTCTCTCTCTACCCCATCAACTGTAACTCATTTCTCTCTCTTGTTTTTTTCCCCTTTCCCCTCACTTCCTCTTATATGTAATTTTGTATAACAGTGAGGGTCTCCTTCCTTTACCATGCAATTTCCCTTCTCTCTCTCTTTCCCTCCCGCCTCTCGACCCTGTTTAATGGTGATCTTCTTCTCATGCTCTTCCTCCCTATTCTGTTCTTAGTTGCTCTCATCTCAGTATTTGCAGAGTTATTTTTTCTTCTGTTTTATAGCTATTATATATTCTATGTCATGAGTGTACTATTGTTTATTTAACAAGTTCCCTATTGATGGACAGGAAGGTTGTTTTCAGTAATTTGTTATTATGACCACTGCTGCAATTTTACTTGGAACATTTTTTATGTTACACTTAGTTTTTCATCTTCCAAAGTACTTTATTAGGCACACACCAGGGCACTCAAAGAGCACATTAATATATGCAACCATTATTACCATTTCTAAACATTAAAATTAAATTCCTATAGAAATTTCTGAAGTGGTCCTCCACAAGAGAACTTCCACTGGTTATACCATTTTACTTAAATCCTACGATGTCACTTTGAAATGTGCCATTCTTTAAATCTATAATTTTGTTTGGCAGCACCCTTAAATTTTTCTATAACACTCTATTCAGCAACTTAGTTTAACTCTGCTTTCTCCAAGCACTATTAACACTGTCACTATGAACAGACATAGCAGTATCTTTTAAACAGCCTCTTGTTTCACATCTCTAGGATGAATGAACTAGTGCAACATAAGAGGAGAAAGAAGAAAATCACTTGCCAACACAAAAATTATCAAATTCCATTTGTCATTTCAACAACAATCTGTCAGTGGATGTAAGACTTTGAAACATGTTCTACCTTTGTTAAAATATTGTTATACAATATTTCCTGTTAGGAACTGCAGTGATTCTCATATTCTTATGTAATTGAAGGCCATTATTTCTCTTTGTTGGGTGGTAGTAAGTATAACAAACTAAGGAGAGCCTGGTTAAACACAAGGCAGTAAGCTGACAAATAAAAACATTAGATTAATTAATGAACTGATTAGTAATTATTTTCCTTGGAGAAATGATTGCAAGTTGTTTATCACATACATTTTTTTTAATCCTCAATTCATTTTTTTAACCAAGCAGTGGATAACAAAGATAAATAGAATATAAGGACTTTATTCTTTTTTAATATTTATTTTTTAGTTATAGGTAGACAGAACATCTTTATTTTACATTTATGTGGTGCTGAGGATCGAATCCAGTGCGAGCACATCCCCAGGTCTTTATTCTTGACAAGTCTGCTTACTAATAGAGGAGGGGAAAACATGTTTATCAGTGATAATAAAATAAGGCAGAAGGTGTTAAGAGCTATAATCAATTGTCACAGGGTTAAAGGGGAAGAAGAGATTACAGAACTTGCTCCCAAGATCCTTCACATTTGCTATTCTCTCAGCCTGAAGTGCCATTTCCCATTGAGGCTATGACTGACTATCATAAGGTCTCAAATGAAATGTCCCAGCCTCAGATAGTTCTAGGTGAACCCAAGTTACCCCCTGCCACTACCTCATTGCCTTATTTTACTTATTTTAAAGAACACATTCACATCTGAAAATATCATATTTTAAGAGCAGACACCCTAGTGCTTATTCATTTCCATATTTCCTGTAGCTAGAAAGGGGACTAGCACAAAGAAGGTGCTTGATATTTTCTGAACATTCTGGAAAATAAGACAGGATACTGGTTTCTTTCTCACACTCTCCACTTCAGTTCTTTTCTGTCCCCGAAAGCATCAGCTTTCCTCCTGCTTCTGGGGCTTCACTTGTACTAATTCTTCTATCCAGATACTGTTCTGACTGTCCCTGTCCCCCATTCAAAGCAAAATTTCAATACTACTTCCTCGTCAACTCTCCTGTCTGCAAACAAGACAAGCACCGGTTGAGGGCATCATCTCCTAAGCATTCCTATGACAGCCTAAACTACCCACATCAAAGCACACAACACGTTACAGCAGTTTTCTTTTCCTTCTCTGCCAGTCAGAGCATAAGCTTCATGTGAGCAGGAATCTCCTGCATTCCTCAAACCATAGCAATTCTATGACCTGAAACGGTGCTTGACACAATGGTAGATGGCTAAAAAAATCTTGAAGTAAATTCTGAAAATAAGTAATAAATCACATCGCTTGTGTGATAAACAATGGGATTGGAAGAGGCAGCATGTGAGTTGGACTCAAAGCATGAGTAGGTCTTTGACAAGCAGAGATGAAGTCAAGTCTATCATCCTACACAGAGGAACTGCTTAAGCAGAGGCAAGAAAGATATGTCTCCAAGATCAGGTTCATGAGGATATGTGAGGGAGACAGAATATAAAATTGAAAAGAGATTACAGATTCACATATTTTAATTAGATGCAATTATGTTATATGGAATTGTATTAAAATGACAGCCAAAATGTTAACAATTAAACTGAAATATACCAAATATGGGCCAATACAATTTTCCTAAATAAATATAACAATTAAAACACTTCCTATATGTGGTGCCAGACTTGAAGCATTTTTTTACCTTGTGCTTTTTCAGTACATCCAGGTCATGAGCAGCATCTTGTGACCCTATAAGAAATAAATCATATCACCTTCAACATAACCATCCTGACTTTTTATATAAACTTGTACAACAAATCCATTAGTTAACTCTTTAACAACAACAACTTGGGAGGACTTCAGTTTAATTTTCTTTTAATATTGTTTTAGTTGTAGTTGGACACAATACCTTTATTTTATTTATTTTTATGTGGTGCTGAGGATCGAACCCAGCAGCTTGTTCACGCTAGGCGAGCACTCTACCACTGAGCCACAACTCCAGCACCAATTCAGTTTAATTTTCTGAATAGCAGTTTGTTAATATCATCACAAAAGATTAAACTTGTTTATATCCTTAGACTTTCCCAATTCTAAGAATTTGTCCTAAAAGTTATACATGTTGCAATAATTATCTATAAGGATGCTCATCATAGTATTGTTTATAATGCAAAAAAAAACAAAACAAAAACAACTAAAGGTCCAATAAAGAGACTCAGTTAAATAAAAATGCATAATTATGTAGGGAAACATACATAAGAAATAAAGAATATCTACAGTGTGGAAACAAGTTCTCAATACATTTTATTTTATTATTATTAAACCCCAGGTGCTCTACCACTGAACTACATCCCCAGCCCTTTACATTTACTTATTTATTTTCAGGCAAAGTTTTGCTAAACTGATGAGGCTGAACTCAAACTTGAGATCCTACTGCCTCAGCCTTGCAAACTGCTGGAATTACAGGTGTATGCCATCACACTTACCAAGTTCTCAATATTTAAAGTAATTAAAAGCAGCCTACAAAATATCATCACAGATTTTTATAAAGACCAAAAACTTATGCTTTGAAAATAGGAAGTATATAGAACATAATATTAATAGTGGTGGTGATAGGTGATATTTTTCTTTATATTCATTTGTATTTTTTTCATATTTATTTTTTAGTTTTAGGTGGACACAATATCTTTTTTATTTTTTATACTTATTTTAGTTGTAGGTAGACACAATACCTTTATTTTATTTTATTATTATTTTCTTTTAAAGAAAGAGAGAATTTTTTTTTTTTTTGAAGATGGACACAACACAATGCCTTTATTTTTATGTTGTGCTGAGATCTGAACCTGAGTTCCGCCTGTGCTAGGCGAGTGCTCTACTGCTGAGCCACAATCCCAGCCCCCTTTATTTTATTTTTATGTGGTGCTAAGGATCTAACCCAGTGCCTCATGCATGCTAGGCGAACACTCTACCAGTGAGCCGCAACCCCAGCCCTCATTTGAATTTTTTACAATAAACACCTCTTTTTTATAATTTATAAAAGATATTATGAAAATCACAACCACAAAATGACTTAGTGCCAGCTGGTTTGGGAACACCCAGTAGCTTAGACATCTATAGGATTCCACCCACACAATCCACCTACCACTAGGGCTGTTCTCTTTTTATAGAATCTTTCTATCCAAGTGGGCTTTCCAGTTCTCCCACACTTGGAAACTGGCTCTAGTTAATTAGCAAATCTTACATGAGAATAACGTGTTAAAATAAAAGCAAATTTTATATTGAAAGAATAGGGCATTGAATTTAAAAGTTTCAAACATTTACTTTCCTGAATTAGGTTCTATTTCCATAAACAGTGTTTTTCTCACCTTAGTTGCCTGGGAAATCAGCCAGCTTTTATTAATGATCTCAGGTAGCCAAGGGCCCAGAAAGTATACTATTTGGCTAATATTCTCTTAATGATAATTAAACTCACAGGCTCTTTACTGAGCCAAACATTCAGCTTTATTCTACTTAAAAGTTGGCCTATCAAACTATAAATGTTTATTAAAGCTGGATAGTAGATACCTAATTGTTATATTATTTTCCATAATTTTCTATAAATTTGAAATATTTCATAATTTAAAAGAAATTCTTAGTTTTCCACTGCAGGAAGTCCTAATCATCTTGGGAGGGGGGGATTCAAATAAGTTTAACTTAAATTTGGCAGTTTAATATGCAAGTCATTTTTTAAATAATAATTCTCCATTTCTTAAAATAGCACAAACTGAAACACGACTTAAATAAAATTCTTTCTTTTTTACTCTATACTGTCATTATTATACATATTTTTTACATTGAATGCTTTAATACTTTCAATTAAACATACACACACACCAAATACAGAGCAAGTAGATTATATTTCAGAGCTAGCTATATTGATATAAACTAATATTCCTGAGGCAAAAAAAAAAAAAGTAACTTGTATGTTCTGTCTTTCCAAACAAAAAGAAAATTAAATGACTGTTAGTAGCATGAGGAAACCATTGAAGCCAACAGAAATGACTTCAGGCAGTCAATTTGTGTTTTTCATATGATACTTGATAATATTCAGTGCAAGTTCATTCTCTCTAAATTTTAGATACAAACATCAGCTTTTCTCCTATTTTAAAAGGATGCTTTGTGTTGCAGTCTTGTGTTAAATTTTGGGGGGAGGGTACAGTGAGAGGGGTTGAATCCAGGGGTGCTTAATCACTGAGTCGCATCTCAAGCCCTTTTTATTTTTTATTTTGAGACAAGGCCTCACCAAATTGCTGAGGCTAATGATGAACTTTCGACCCTCTCCATTAGCCTCCCATGTCGTTAGGATTACAGGCATGCACCACTGCACCCACCTTTGTGTTAGAATTTCAGTAATAAATACTGAAAATCATATATTCTAAAATGAGTTATTTTAAAAACCATTGTTTTGGAAAAGCAAAATATCATCCTTTTGCAAATTAATTTAAATGAAATTAAAACATTCTATTTTAACAGTGGTTACATAAATCTATACTTGTGTTATGATGTATAAACTGGGCTAGGATGTAACTCAGTGATAGAGTGATTGCCTGCATATGTGTGAGGCCTTGGGTTTGATCCATAGCACCTCCCAAAAAAAGATTCGTAGAACTATACCAAATCAATTTTATTGTATAATTTCTTAAAAGAATTAATGAATGGGACTACAACTGAACAATATAACTAGTAAAAAGCTAGTTATATTTTACATTGACACAACCACTCCAATATTCATTAGCATAGGTAAGGATTATTATTTAAATATTACAGATGACATACTAATTTAGAAAGAGTATATATTATAGACTATTGGTACTGAGGCTTCTAATAAGTTAGATGTTTGGCAATCAAAGTGTAGAAATCATAAGACACAGGCTATGCAAGATCTCTAGAGCCCGTTTGTATTTTTCAAAGAAATCATTTTAATGAAAATATCAAACAATGTATATACTCTGATAACATATTTTAAATTTACAAATCACTATTTTCATAATCACAAAACAAAACCAAAAGTTATTATATTACCACAGAAGAAAATAAATGATATTCTAAAGAAACGTTTTATTTGAAAAAATTAATAATAGTAAACATTCATTAGTGAATTAAAATAGGAACTTAACTTACTATGAGGATTCCATATCAGGATATTTATGAAAGATTTTATCTAATAAAGTGCTACACAAATTTATACAAATTTAAAATATTATCTGCCTCCCAAGAATCCTGTGTTTCCTGTATCTCAGATATATAAACCACATAAAGTACCTCATGCTTTTTATGGGGAATGGAAGAGAAAAATCTCTAAAATGTCACCAATTTAGACACCTTAGCTGAATGGATATAGGAAATAATTAGTGTGCCTTTAAACTACCCAGAAGAAATGGAAATTTGTTTTCAAATCAAGTTACATTTATCAAAAGTCCCAGTGGTTTTTGTCGTAAAACCATAATTTGCAAAACTTAGGACAAAAATGCTTACTAAGATCTTTTATCCACCTGTTGGATGGCTCAAGGGCCAATGTGAGATTTTTTTAAATACAGTAATTCATTAGACCCTGTCTATAAACTAACTGAAAAAGACAGATTACATTTTTACAGCTCTCCATTTTCTGCAAAGCACCATGGTATGCATTGCTGAGAAGAAACTGCGGGTCTTTGGTGAGGTGAAGGAAGCTTTTGAAACTAACCTGGAAACAACCCCAGACTCCCTGATAGAAACCAAGTCCAGACAGAAACAAACCCTGCATCATTCATGTGGAAGAACTTTATATGCACATATCATGGATCCCTTAGGAATAAGGCACTTATAACTAGACAAAAAGGTCCCTCTGTCTTTCAAAAGAAAGAAGGTTGTGCCTGATCAAAGTGTCCTATTTCCTAGTCCAGAGAGGAGACTGGTTTCAAAAACCCCTCCCAAAACTCTCCCAAGATCTTGGGGAGGATTCCAACTCCAATCTAAGAACAGAAGCTTGATCAACTCCATTTGGATAAAGTCACATTAAAAAAATAAGCAAAGTTCATAAAGACTCTGAATTGGCAAATAATAAAAAGTAACCACAACTGTTTTAAACTAGTATTACTACAATGTCAGCCAAATAACTGAGAAATTGCGCCTAGATGTATTTCAAACTAGTATTGCTACAATGTCAGCCAAATAACTGAGAAATCGCGCCTAGTTGTATTTCAGAGTACGCATGGTTCAGTATTTCTACATAACAAGAAATCATAAAACCATCAGACTCACAGCTATAAAATAAAAGCACTCCTCCTAAAAACTCCAAGACACCATGAAGAGATGTGGCCACAGAGGGATGCATTCCATAAGGTTTGAAACAACTTTTCTATACCTTTATCGCTTCTTACTTGTTTTGTCTAATAAAACTTTTAAATTTATTCTTTCAAAAGATAGCCTTTTGTAATTCTAGAAAACACAATATCTGTCTGTTTTGCTCCAGATAAGTTAGAAAAAATAGGGCGGGGGAAGCTTTTTTAAAAAATTCAAGGTGCTAAGGGCTACTAGAATCCATGCTTCTTATGGGCATAATGTGGGTACAGAAACTTCTCTATGTGTATAATGGAAGTTCCATATTAAAAAAAAAAAAAGAAACATTTCAATGTTTTGACAGCATAGCTGATAGTACAGGCACATAAGGAGGTGAGGTTTCCTGAGAAAGTAATTTAGTTTTAACTCAGTGACTTACCCAGAAGCAACCATGGCTTAATAACGCCAACTTGCAGGTCCAAGCTAAGGTCCTGCACATAACCACAACCAACCCCCTCGCTTGGCTGTACTTCTTCCACAACATGAATTCTGGCATCTTTCCATGTTTCTATAATTTTCTTTCCAGTTAGCGTTGTCACCCTGGTGCATTGCTTCCTGAGATTATTCCGGGAGAATGCTTTAATTTCCTGGCTAAGGGAGTGCATTACATGAGCAGTGGCTGGGAACAAATGCAAGCAAATCCAGCAAGCACAGAGAAGGGCTGAACTCCTCGTCCCTTATTGCTCAGGTAATAAATACAGCCGCGGGGCGCTTGCCTCCCCAGGTGAGGCGTTAGGTAGCCACCACACCCCAGGAGACCTGAACAGTCCAACAGTCTTTTTCCCTCAGCCGCGATGTAAGGCGACATTTGATTGGCCACTGAGAAGTGGGCGCCGATTGGGTGCTGATTCTTTTTCCTGTTTGGCTCGAAACCTGCGTTTTTCCTGCAAGGGAGAAGCGATCGGCTGGAGAGTCGTCAAAATCTATCTTCACTATACACGTAGAATGCTAAAATATGACTGAATTGGAGAGAGGGATGCTATCTTCCAGCTCTTTAAAGGCAGTGACTTTGTGGATACGTTCGGTTGGTTTAGTCACGTTAGCGACTGAATGATGCCGGCTACCGTGTGTCGCTCCTCTTTAGCGAGGCCGCGGAAGTCAAAATGCAGATTGTCCTACTTTGCCTGGCCCGCCTTACCCTCCTGATGTTAGATCTGTCAGGGGTGGGCTACAGCAGGTGTGATGAAGTTATTTCTCTTTTCCTGCGTCCTTCTCACCCTTTCTTTATGCTGGAATGTTTACTAAACAAAACTGCCTGTATTTGTGAGGCATCAATTTAAATGAAATCCGAAAAAAAAATTAAAAAAAGGTATTGAGAAAATTTTAAATTACATTCCTATATAAATTAACAAAACTTAAAATTTATGAATTTTCTGACTTTCCGCCTACATTTTCACCTGCTGAAGAACTGTAGAAGGCTTAATGTGGTAAATATGTGCTCTGTTTATAAAAAGCATTGCACCAAGCCCATCTATATATAGTTGAGAAAAATTAAGTGTGCAAACATCCAAATTTACAAGACAGATAAACAGTAGAGTGATGGTTCTGATGACAAAAGGATGATTTGTTTTACTAAAGAAACAACAAAATTTCTTCAACAAGAATTTTCCTGACCCTTAAAAAATAAAGATTGAAGCCTGGTGCTGTGATGCATGGCTGTAATCCCAGCTCGTTGGGAGGTTGAGGTAGGAGGATCCTGAGTTCAAAGCCAGTCTTAGCAATTTATGGAGGTCTTGAGCAACTTAAGGAGACCCTGTCTCCAAAATAAATTTTTTTTAAAAAAGGAGGGGGTGCTGGGAACGTGGCTCAGTGGTTAAGCGACCCTGGGTTCAATTCCTGGTACCAAAAATAAATAAATGAATAGATAGATTTTTAGATGAATTCAGGCACAATGTATAAATACATGTATAAAATGAAGATATTGTACTTATGAAAATCTGTGCTCCAATACCACACATTAAAATTTTTTATTATTTAAACTTTCAGGCAAACTTCTATGAACTGAATGTTTGTGTCCCTTCAAAGTGTGTACAGTTAATCTGTAATTCCAGATGTGATGATATTTAGAGGTGGGACCTTTGGGAGGTATTTAGAGTCAGATTATGTCATGAGGGTAGGGCCCTCACGATGAGTGAGATAAGTGGTTTAGCGAGAACCGGAAGTGATCTCCTCCCTCTCCTTCCAGAGTGGCAGGGAAAGGCCATGTAAGGACAGAGGGAGAAGTCAGCTGTCTGCAAACCAGGAACAGAGTCCTCACCAAGAACCTTGAATAACCCAGCAACTTGATGTTAAACTTCTAGTGTCCAGATCATGAGAAATAAATTTCTGTTGCTTAAGCCACACAGGTTATGGTATTTCATTATGGCAGTCTGAGCTCACTGAGAGATAAACCAAAATCTTTCCTCTTGAAAAGAAGTTATCAGCCCAGGTTATCTATGGGGCACTCCAAAATGGAGAAATTATTTGCATCACTTAAACAATCTTGGGCTCACTAAAACAACTCTAACCAGAAATAAATCCATATATTTGTCAGAACAATGATCAAAAAAGTAACTATCAGTCATTGAGCACTTATTACATGCTAGGCACTGTCCTTACAAATAATTTTTAGATTTTTATGTTATACATTAGGCACCTAACAATGCTTTAGTCATATTATCCCGATTGATTTTACCACAAGCCTGTTAGATACATCCTTTTACAATCATCTATGTTTTGCAACTGAGGAAATTTAGATGCAGAAAGCATATATCACATGTTTATTCTACCTTCTGTAGCTAATGAGTTCAAGACTGTAAATAAAACCTAATATTGTTTTAGTCCTGTATCTTAGTTTTATTTACTATGGAATATTGCCCTTCCCCAAAAAGAATTATACTTAACAAATATTTATTAAACACCAACCATGTACTAAGACTGTTAAGGTCACTGGGGATATAGCAGTGAATTAAAGCCCTTCCTGTCTTATGGAGCTTATATTCAAATGGAGTGGATGAACAGATAAAAAACAAAAGTGTGTGTGTATAAAGCCATGTTGTGTCATCATTTAAATGTTAAAAGGAAAAATCAAGTCAAATAAGGGAACAGAGTGAAATGGCAGTGTGCTGTTTGCTAAAAGTTTATGAAAGAAATCACCTCTGATAAAAGATAATTTGTTTTTGTTTTTTTAGATGGGATCTCACTATGGTGCACAGGCTGGCCAATCATCCTCTCTCAGCTCCTGAGTAGCTAGGATTACAGACATGTGCTCAGCTTTAATAAAGTGAATTTTGAACAGAGACTTGAATAAAGTGCAAAAGCCAGCCCTGTAGATATCTGGGGGAGAATTTAATAGGAAGTGTCTAAACGTAACACATCTAGTGTCTATATCATGTGCTTGATAGTACCCTAGTGGGAGGCATTGGGGTAGTGGGTAAAGGTTCAAGAAATAGCCAGGTGGCTAATGTGGCTTTAAGAGAGTGAATTTAGAGGAGATGAGGTCCAGAGAGAAATGGTAATCACTTTGGATTGTATTCTGAGTGACATGGGAAGCCACTGGAGGGAGCGAGGAAGAACAGTGATGTGCTACACTAACTAACAAGATCCCCCTTGTTTCCCCAGCTGGGAGAACTACTGACTGACTGGTGAGAGTCCCTTTGGGGCCTGCCTTAGCTACAAAAGGCTGCTTTCTAAGGATATGTTTTTCACAGAATAGACTCCAACCATGACTAATCCACGAGGAAGCATAGAGGCCTGGCCATGTTTGGCCCAACTTGGGACAACTCTAAAGGACCACTGTGGCTCTGAGAGCCAACATATTGTTAGCTAAGACTGTCATCAGGTCTGCATAACCACTTGACTTCTCTGTCTGCCCAATTGTGCTTCATTGTTTTCTTCCACTGCTAAACTCTGACTCAGTTTGCTTCCAAGGAAATTTAATCTGTGACAAGTGATTTGATATTGCCTTTTTCTGTAAAGGGTTTCTTCTGGCTGCTGTCAGGACAGGAGGCAAGATAGAAGCAGGGAGATTTGCTAAGAGGCTACTGCCATGATCCAGATGGAAGAGGACAGATGCTTAGGCTAGAACGGCAGCAGAGAAGAAGAAAGCAAGTAGGTATATTCTAGATACAGATGTTTGACTTAGGATGGAGTTACACCCCAATAAACTAATCATAAATTGAAATATTTGTGTCAGAAGTACATATAATGCACCTTACCTACTGAACAGCATAGCTTGGTAACACAGCACCCGTAGAGCACCAGTTGTTTACCCTTGTGATGGTGTGGCTGACTGGAGGCTTACAGCTCACTCACTGTCTTTGCCCACCATCATGAGACAGTATCATACTTCATATTGCTAGCCTAGGAAAAGATAAAAATTCAAAATATGTTTTCCACTGGATGAGTATCATTTCATACCATTGTAAAATCAAAAATCATAATCAAACCATCATAATCAGGACTGTCTAGATATAAGGATTTGTTAGTAGATCAATGTAAGGAGATTTGGATGATTCCAAAGTTTTTGGCCTGAGAAACTGAATAACAAACTTGTTATTTTCCAAGAAAGAGATAATGCAGAAATGAAAAGCAGTTTCAGATCTGCTAGGCTTTACATGCCTATTATTCAGCCAATTGTAGATATCAAGTGGACAGTTGCACACTGTGAATCTGAATTGCAAATAAAAAAGGCATCTTCTGATCTAGGTACAGTGACTCATGCCTATAATCCCAGCAGTTTGAGAGGCAGAAGCAGGAGAATTGCAAGTTCAAAGCCAGCCTTAGCAACTCAGTTAGGCCCTCAGCAACTTAGTGAGATCCTGTCTCAAAGTAAAATAATAAAATGGGCTGGGGATGTGGCTCAGTGGTTAAGTGCCCCTGAGTTCAATCCCTGGTACCAAAAAAGAAAAGTATCCTCTGGAGGAATACTCAGCTCAAAGAGGCATTCGAAGCTGTGGAACTGAATGAGATGATGTGCTACTGAGGGTTGCTAGCAAAACCCCATGAATGACTCATTCAGGGGTTGAGATGAGGCAATGAGGAGGATTCAGCCAAGAAGACAAAGAAGGAGAGGTCCTGGAGGTAGAAGAAAAGGAGAAAGATAGTTCCAAGAGTACAAGAATGTGTTTCAAAGTAGGTGGTATGATCAACTGCGTCATACGCTACTGAGTGTTGAAAAAGGTGAAGATTGAACACTAATGCTAGATTTAAAAGCCCTCTCAATAAAAACAGATGGTATGTCCCTGAAGTATACAAACGCTACCTGATTTCATACATATGACAACCCAGTGAGGTAGTATTATCCACTCTATGTTTTTGTTTGTTTGTTTGCTTGTTTTGTTTGTTTGGTACTGGGGGTTGAACCCAGTGGCACTTTACCACTGAGATACATCCCCAGCCTTTTAAATTTTTTTTATTTTGAGACAGGTTCTCACTAAGTTGCATAGGGCCTCACTAAATTGCAGAGGCTATTTTCAAACTTGTGATCCTCCTGTCTCAGCCTCCCCAATCTCTGGTATTACAGGTGTGCACCACTGTGCCCAGCTCAACTCCATGTTTACGAATAAGTTTAAGGCCTAGCCTTTGGCCATAATTCAGATTTCTGTTTTAGGTTTTAGTAACAAGGTTGGTTGAACACAATTCAAGAGTCCATGTCCTTTGCAACATGTTATTCTACAGAGGATGGTAGCATTGTTTACATTTTATAGCTACATTCCCTACTGATAATGCTGGGATACTAACAGGACATCAGTAATAGTGGATGTTTATACATTGATTTTTAAACTCTATGTGACATTTTACAGAAGAA